AACCCTAAAATAATATAAACTAAAATCAAGGTTTAATTTTTAGTCCAATGTTGTGTAATATATTACTCCTATTTTAAGGCTATATCCCGAGCAACCTGTGTTTGTTGGACAAGTAATTTTACATGGACTAAGTGTATCATCCCATCTATACGTTATTCAATAAAATTATACCAATTCATTCAAATAAAAATTTAATATTTTTTATAATAATTTTTTTAATATGTTATTATTTTTAATGACATTTTTTTGGGAGTAAAGTGACTTTATAACTTCTTGCATTTTATCTCTCCCCTCATTTACAATGATGATAGAGAGAAAAGATAAGGAATTAAAAGAATTTAAAATGGCATAAATGAGGCATATCACATAAGATTAAATGAATGAATTTGAAATGGCATGCTTTTGTTAGATAGTATATATATGACGTGGGTGTGTAGGTTTATGCAAAAATTCTCTTATTGGACATTTTTTTTGGGTAAAGTATGAATACGAGTGAAAATTAATGAAAATTACTTTTTTTAATAAAAAATATAAGGCATTTTTTTGAGGTTAGATGTTAAAAAATATAAGACATTTTTATTTTTTAATGTATAATTGATAATTTTTTTAAAAAATAGTTTTAATAAATAAACCAATCAAGCATTCATCTTTAAGTGAAACATACCTTGTTAAGCAAAAACAAATATAAAAAGATAATATAAGTTAAAATATTTAACTAACTTATTTGAGAGTGTAATTTGATTAAAAATATCTTAAACTTTTTGAAATGGGGGGATTTAATATGGAGAGGAGATACTATTAGTTTTTATTTACTCATAATAAGCAAGCTCAATCGTGAAGAACTTTTGCCATTTCTTCTCTCTGTTTTTTTTTTTTTTGGGTTTTGCGATTAGCACTAGAAAATTGTTTTTATTTTTGTTATATTTTGGAAGGAGAATGCCTTCTAATACACACACGCACATGTACAATGAGGATGAATAATATTGTTGTCAAATTTTCGAATTCACTTTTTAGTTAAATTTATCATTTTTATATTTTTAACTTATAAATTTATGTCAACTTATTCATAAATTAAAACTAGATAGAAAACTCTGTTATATTTGTAAGTTGATTGTCTGGGTTTATTATTTTAAGTTTTAGCTTATAAAATTATATTAATTCACTTATAAATTTAAATTATATACAATTCAATTAAACGTGCTAAACTTATCAATTTCTTGTCAAGTCGAACAAGTTAGATATATACTGTGTAGAACTCGGTTCATAGAAATAGTATAACTCGATTCAAAGAAAAATATAACTCAAAAGGAAAAAACTAATATTAATAAAAAAATAAAACAAGAAACAAAAAATAAGTCAATGATTTATATTTGAAATTTCTATGTTGAGTATGATAATATATGAATGTAAACCAATTTAATTTCATTGATGTATGTTTGAAATATATGTAAATTTAAATTATGATCATATTTTATATTTTAATTATTCATCATGTACTTTTAATAGCTATTTTATTAATATAGATAAATATTTATGATGGGTTTACTTAAATTTATGAGTTTAACAACCTTGGATTACATAGAAATAATATCTAATACATTGAATTTACTTATTCGTGTAGGAAATAAACATCACAGATATGGTTTTATAAATAGTTTGGATATAAGAATTCTTCAAACGATTTATTTGAAAAATAATAATGTATTGGCTTTATATATGAATAGTATTTTATAAGTATGGAACTAGTAAATACTAATTTCCAACAATTTAATTGCATAGATATGCAAACATATCAAGTTTAGACGCCACTTGAATTTCATTTTTACTTGGAACTTGTTAAACTATATATGTTGGGCAACAACAAAAAAGTTGTATTTTGGTACGAATCTAATTAATTAAATTATGTATATTTAAGGAACAATTTTCCTAATCATCTTTTGGGATGAGATCTGGGCCATCCAAATTTTAATCTGAATGGTCCAAATTTAAAATATTATTTTATATTAATTTATTAAAATAAAAATTTATAAAATTATAAAATAATTTTAATAAAATTTTACTTTTTAATCTGATTTAGATTTAATTTAGAGAGTCTAATTTAATATTAAAATTTTTATAATTGGATATTTCAAATTTTTGAGATGTACTCTGCACAGTTTAGATATTATATCTAGATTATGCAGAGTACATATGGATAATTAATATAAATTAATTATAAAATTTTAATATAAAATTTGACCCTTTAAATTAAATCTAGATCAAATTAAAAATAAAAATTTATTAAAATTATTTTATAAATTTTATAAATTTTATTTTTAATAAATTAATATAAAATAATATTATAAATCTGAACTGTTTATATTACAATGTGGACAATCTAGATTTCATCTCTGAGATAAGTAGTGTTCCCGTATCTTTATCGCACTTGTCGACTAAACCTTGACATTTTATGAAAGCACATTGTGCGTTGCAATTTCCATCATTCCGATCCGGCCCAGGTTCACTTTGGGCTGCACTAATTTTTGGGACAACCCTTATATATATAAACATATAAATAAAGAAATTAATATATAATTTAAACTTTAAACTATAAGTTTATGAGTAATTTAAATTTTAAACTCATCATTATATATTTTAAATTTTAAATAATTAAACTTAAAACAATTTCGCACACACCATTAAATTGATACAAACATTCATTAAGCATTACCAAGTGGTAATTTTTTTTTTTTTTTTAAAAAGTCGACCCTTGGCTGATGTGTGTGAGGTTTTAATTCTGAGTTAGCACATTCCATTTCTGCCCACTCCAGTTAATTTTAATTTCTTGAAGGACGACGCTCTCGTCGCAATAATATCAGAAAAATATCATTTTAAGTTTGCCACCGCTTGGTTCTAGAAGCAAAGTCGTCTTTCTCTACACATAGTGCTTACTCTCATTTCTGCTTTCCTTCGCTACCGCTCAATTTGAGAACCAAGCTCTACTCGACATTCATGACATTCATGGCATTACCAATATACCCATTGGAAAATATTGGCTTACACAAATGACATGCCACTTAAGCAAAATTTGGTCAAAATTTTTTCTCTCTCCTTATCTAACAATCCTCGTTGGACCAATTTAATGGTTGGGATAAGGTTGCCTGAATTTAATTTTTTAGGATTTAAAATGTATTAATTACGAATTTATGGTTCAAATTACCTCTAACCATGTAATTTATGGTCCAAACTGTCATTCAAACCTAAATAAAAATTGTGTTAAAATTATAGCTTTCAATTTCTGAACTTAATTTGCTGTTTGAATTAAATTGATGACAATACAAGTTTTTTCAATCATTACTCTCTATATATATCTATATATATATATATGAGTGTGCGTATATAAATATTAATAAAACTATAAAAAGTTAAAAACCATAAAATTTTTAGGAATTTATAATGTAAAGGTCTTTATTTTATTTTTTCCCTTACAGCCTTCAATTGTTTATTATCTCCAATATTAAGAATATATGAATGTATTGGTCAAAAAAGTCATAAAAATTATAATCAAATATTTGGAACTACATATATTCCAATCCCTCTAATCCCATTTACAAGGGAAAGAGAGAGAGATATATGTTTTTATAGATAAAGTTAATGAATTTTAATTTTTTTATTTCAATAAAATATGTTAAAAGTGATTTATAAATATAATAAAATGGAGTATAGGTATAAGTGCTTGAAAAATTGAGAGATTTTAGTGTAATTGAGTTTTTAAGTCCGGCCATTTAAGACTTGTAAAAGCCTAAGACTAAGATATACTTACTCTTTTGTTTCCGTATATTTCAGTACTGAAAATCTTAACAAAAAAATCTTAAATTGATATGAACCATATATTTATACACACACACACATTTTGTTAAGGAAAGGAGAAGACCAACTAGGATCTATTATTAAAAAAGTGAATCTAGCCTACGCCTAGAGCGTCATCTTGTAAGAGTTTTGATAAATTGTCTGGTGACTGGTATACCTAGATCTACCAGTAAGGGGATGCACACTTCAATGTTGCGATAGCGCCTATAGACCCACAAGACATCACTATTGCGCAGTTTATACACATGAACCATGTTAAGAGTGCTTGGTTGTCATTGCCGATTTGCCCCTATATGCTAACACATTTAATGATAAAAATAAACGAGTGGGGTAATGAATTAAGTACTAATTGCAAATCAATCGAGTTAATGCACCATCATTAAAAGTTCATAAACTTGTTTATGCTCATATCTAAGTAATTAATAAGTTAGAAAGCAAAAAACATCAAGCTTCTAACACCTACTTAGACTTGAAAAACGAGTAGGTTTGGCTCTCATGAACCCAACCCTTAAGAGCTCATGTCTTGAAACTCAATTTTACAAAATTCCTCCAAATCCTAAGGCTCAATCCTTATGTAAAGGATTCAAGGCCGGGCTCATAAGCTTGGTTAAAAAAAATTAAAAATTAATATTATTATTTAGTTATAATTTTTAACATTAAACATAAAACAAATCCAAGTAATTACTCTAATTGAGAAAAAAAAATTACTTTGATTAAATTTGGTGAGAATTAGAGCAGCCATCTAAGATAATTAGATAATTAGAGATTAAAGTATCAGTCATCTAGCATCCACAGCAAGGCAGCAGCTGGCAGTCAAGTCAGTTCTGTAGCTCGATCTGTTGTGCAGGCCAAGGCCACAAATTCAAAAGATTAAAGCGACAAGCATTTCGGTCCTGGACCACAGGGAAGGTAAGTACTCTTACTGACCAAATCTGTAACTGATATAAAGGATCAAGTTCTCAGAAATCAATGTTTAACGACCTGACAAATGCAAAGAAGCAATAGACAAGTTTTGGGGCTCATCACTGACAAGAGGAAGCTGATGTAATCCAATTTGAGGTTGCGGAAAATCACGGTTCCGTATAACTTAATTAACCAAATTGGGAAGGCTCAGGCAACAATGAAAGGGGGGGGGGGGGGGGGGGGCAGCATCTTGTGCAGTCTGCATGATATATTCACAGTAAACATTTGTTGTATTACATGAAAAATACCGAGTTGTTTTCTAGAAAGGCTTTTACTAAGTAGGATGCAGGTTCAGAAGCATTTAAACTCCAACTATGGTATTGTATGTGCCATAAACAGCAAAAAATAAACCACAGAACAGTACAATAAAATCCAAGGCTTTCTGCCAAAGATGTAGAGAAGAACCAAATAGCTTTAGGTGAAATGTGGCTGGCAAAACAAATGAGATCAATGCACACACAGTACTCCCCACAAACGAGGCAAATACGCCAAAAGCTGGCACGCATGAGGCCAAGATTGCCAGCACAACCACCACAATTGCTCGACTCATATAGATCCAAGTCTTTCCTAATCTGGTTGTTGAATCATTATTGTCCCAGTGGCAAGGCCTGTAAAACCATTTGAGCCTTTTCAGCTTTCCCTCCACAATTTCATTAATAGGGTGAACCATGATTGGGAATGTGAACACCAGCCCCAAGCATAATCCTATCTGTCATAATAGCAATTCGAGATCTCAATGAATAATCAGAAACAAACAGTGTTATGAAGATAAAATATGAAAGTTGGCGGCAAAAGAACTGTTAATTGGCTGCTTTATCTGCTACTTATAATGCTTAAAATTTGAAACATTTACCTTAAAAGTGGATTTTATAAGGCATGTATAAGCACAAATCGATCATGTCTATGAATATAATGTGAACCACACCCACACAGGCAGAGAGAAACACATGCTGGCATACACATGCAAATACGCCGACTAAACAGATACTATGAACAACACAATTTAGGTGACAAGTGTAATAAATATCAAATACTAAATCATCTTCAAGAGCCAGCTGCTTCCACTAATGCCCTCAAATGGATATCTAACCATTTTAATCGTATCCAACCAATCATATCTGATCTTAAGATATCTAGCATGGTTGGTCTGCATTCTTGGAAAGAGCGAGACTGCAAGTCACTAAAATTTTCTCAAGATCTGATTCATGCAATGGTACATTTCCTCAATGACTTTTGCTCGTCTTTTGGCTTTCATCAAATAATATAATTTCAATGTTTATTCATGTCCAGGATACACCGGGAGCAAGATAACACACGATATATATCATTATAAATCCGGAATCAACTAGCCGAGAAAAAGAAAGGGGGAAATGCAGGATATTGATCAGCTAAGTGAGAAAACCACGAGAGAGTACCACGTCAAACCAAAAGGGCAATACAACATTCCATAACTTATTGTCTTAACCATATTACCTGTACTACCCTAGATGACCAATTCCTGGGAAGATTGAGGGTCACAATATCTCTAGTTTCATCACCATAAGCCATGTAACCAAAAAACCCAAAAAGAATGTACACAAGTGTTATCCCACCAAAGGTCTGAGCCAGCAATCTTGGGAACTTAGCTCTGTCCTGCATCGAATTCTCCAAGGCCAATGTCATCCCAAACCCTTCAAAACAAAAGACTGCCATGCCTCCTGCAAAAGGCAGTCCACCTAAATTGGATGTGATTGCGGTTCTCTGTTCAAATGAGAATTCACCCCTTAATGCTTGCTGTATGTCTTCCTTCGCCACAATTCCCATCGCTAGGACATTGCAAATATCAGCAAAAATGCTAAATGGTGCTAAAGCAGATAAGCTCCCTATCCATGATAATCCAATTTCAACTGGCACTAACAAAAATATATAGGATGTGAATGCGAGACCGTGGTTTAGGAAAATAGATTGGAGGTTTTGGCCAATGAATACCAAATATGCAACGGAACCTCCACTCTGTGCTACCAAGATAAGAAATTCTGACAGATAACGACCAATGGATCCAAAGCTCTTATAACCCAGATCCCCATACGTTTTTGCTTCGACTGATGATCCATCTGCTGCCAACTTCTCTCTGCACAAAACCTGTGGCAAGGAAAATTAAATGCAAACTTTTCAATAACAAGACACTAGCTGACTTCCAAGGAAAGGACGGAAAGGTTCTCTCAGCTAAAAGGACGCAAAGGTTCTCTCAGCTAATAGCACGTGATAAATTCCTCGAGGACCTGAGTCACAGAAATAGTTCAACTAGTTCCCGCAGAAATTAATCGTTCCTCAATCAACACCTCGGTGAATCAAACGTATACAAACTTATGTGCTGGATCAATTTGAGAAGAAAAACTAAGAGAAGGGATGCTCACTCACAAGAAGGAGCATGCAATAGTAGGTGGTCATGCCAACGATAGAAACTCCCAGTGAACCAGCAAGCCAACCAGCGATCCGAAAAGCAAAAGGCAATCCCAATACACCGGTACCAACTATAGAGACTATGATATTTCCTAGGGTTTGAAGCTTTGAAGTTGTTCCAGAAAGAGGCGATTCCAGCAGAGGGGTTGCGTAGCTTTTTGGGTCTTGCTCCATCGTCTTCTGATCCTCAGTCACGAGTTAACGACCGCTCGCCGATCTGCTATGAATACCTAACTCTTCTTTGGATTGAGTATTATTGGGGTTTGGGATTCAATTTTGGTATGAGAGATGCATTTTCCAAATCAGGATGAATGGCCCTCTGGAAACAGGAAATCAGTAAAAGGAACATTTTGCTACTTGGCACACGTTGATTCTGGTCTTTTGTTGGCACGGAAATTACAAGTTACCGCCATTATGAGCCGCCATCCTGCTGAGTCGCTGCTTGAATCTTGAGGAGTTTACGTTCACTATATGACAATTCAAAATACAGAATGAAGGAGATAAGAGATTCTCAGTGTGTTTGGATAGGGAAAAAAAATCGATTTTCCCCTTCCAAAATTAATTTCTTCAGTAAAATAGCCAAACGGTCAGAAAAGGTAAAAATTAATTTTGACCTCCATATACACGTTTTCTCATAAGCTACTTCGATCAGCTTTCTGATAAACGTTTGTAAAAAATGTTGAAAAAAATTATAAAAATAGACTCAAGAAAAAAATTATAAATAAAGCACATAATTTAATAAAAATAAAATCAAACTCTCTTCTCTTTTTTTCCTTAATAAAATTTAAACTTTGTATATTTAAAAAAAATTAATATTTGATATTTAAAATTAAAATATATAGTAATTTATATAGGTAAAAATTAATTTTGATTAAATTATTTAAATATCTTTAACTCTGTTAAAATCAATTTTAAAAAATAGTATCCAAACAGATTGCGTTATAACATAATCACTTATGATTAAAATCTACCACTTAATCAATTATTTTCATAATCTATTATACCCAACTGAAATCCAAACGGACCCTTAGTCTCGCTTTCCATTAACGGATCTTGCAAACATTAGTCGGTTTGATTCAAATTAATTCATCAAATAATATTAAAAATATGAATCAAATTGAATTGAATAAGATAATCGAATTGAATAAGTATTGAACCAGATTTGGTTAATTCAATTTTGAGCTTCATATTGAATTGCTTGGATTTAAACCAATTTTATTATTTTTTTTATTAAAGCAAACAAGGTTTATATATAAAATTAAGTTATGAAGTAATAATAGTCTATTTTAGTGAAGGGTTAGAATTTCAACTTATTAAATTATATATTTAGTTTTATTTAAGTATAAAATTAAAAATAATAAAATAAAGTAAAGTAATTAATAAAACAAATATAATTTATAAATTAATAACTTATTTATACGTATGTGTGATAATTCGATTCATTTGGTTAATTCAATTTTAAATTTTACTAACCGAAATGAACCATAGAGGCTATGAGTTCGAATCCATTGACTTAAATAGAGTTAATAAGACTAGATTGAGCTAATGAAACTTGATATTTATGGAGTTATGATGATTGGTGGTTGAGGAGAAATAAATATCCAAAAATTCCCATTAATGTGTTAGTTGGGGTAATGTGGTCCCATTAAAGAGCTCAATGGTGATAGTGAGGGTTAAAGGAAACTAAAAAACTTTATAAGTACTTTTATACAAGTTAAGAATGAATCTTGAATATTAAGAAGTGTTGAATTATTAGTGAAAATTAGCCCAAATGTGAATACTAATGAGTTGCATTGTAAATGCTTGTAAAGTGACTATCCTTGGCACTATTCTAGCTTCTTGGAAGATTTGGGAGTGAGTATTTGAGGAGTGAAGCCTTTGACTTCTCAAAAGTTTAAGGTAACCGGGAGAATTATAACCTAAGTTTTTATGTGTTAATTAGTTTATTGATTAATAAGTGATGATTGAATCATGTGGAATTGATTGAAATGAAAATGTGGCATGAATGGCTTGGAAATCCACTATGATGATTTTTGTACAAAAATGCAATTTATTAAAAATGTTATTAGTGGACTTTCGTATTGAAATTTGTTGGAAGTTCAATGATTGATTGTTATGGGAGTGCAATGATGTGATGTCCTTATAGTTTAATGATTTGAGTTGATAAGAGTTCAATGATTTTGAAATTTATGGAGTTCAATGATTGGGAATGTGTGAGGTCCAATGATTATGATAAATATAAAGTTTAATGATTTATTTGATTTGGAGTTCAATGACTATTTTGAAATGTGAAGTTCAATGAGATTAGTGGTAAAGTTAAATGATTTGATTATGCATAATATGTGGTTACCATATATGTGATTGAGTATAATGATATGATGATGATGCATGCTTAATTGTTAAGTAAATGAATGCTTAAAATTGTGCATATCTATGCATGGCATGATCATGAGAGGTGGGAGTTCACCTAGGAAGAAGAGTAAAGAATTAAATCTATATGGTAAGGCTCATATCCTAGTTGATAGCTTGCCTGGATCGATTATATTTATATTGTTCCACTTGTTTAATGAAGGATTGCCCCACTACTTCAACGAGGGATTCAAACCTAGCTAACTACTAGTTCATGAGAAAATGGAAAAAATCATGTTTTACAAGTGAGTTGGGTAAGCCTTAATCGAGTAATCTCCTTACAAGTGTTTAGGTTAAGGAAATCCCATTGTGCTATAGTCCACGATTTCATGTTAGAGGAATAAAGAAGATATAAGAGAAGTGTGATCATACATATACTAAGTAAGGGCACATGGTTGTCTGTATTGTAATTCTAATAATAATAATAATCATGAATTAAGTCTTAATCACTTTTGAGTATATGTCATTTGATTGTATGACAAACTCTCTTTTACATGAAAGTTGTTAAAAAGCATTATTTTCCAAATATGTGCTATTATGTTTAAAAATGTGAATTTAGTCTCTTAAATGTTTTACATGGTTTGGAGAATTAATTATATTTTTCAGTTGCATTTAAATTAATTGACACGTATTAATATAAGTTAGTTGGACCTTGGTTTTAAGTGGTTGTACTCACCTTACTATCTTTAATATTACAGGGAATAGCTCAAGAGGACTAGACAAAAAAAAAACACCTAAAGGCTTAAGACTGCGATCCCATTAGTAGGCCTCTTTATTTTTGAGACATTATGTGTATCTGACAATTGAAATTGCCAACTAGGAATAGCCCATTTTGATCCTCACTTGCATTATATGTTTTGTGAATTGTAAGTGTACTTTGGACCTTAGGGAGTGAGTTCATGATATGTGATATCTGTGATAGGGCCAAAATACTAATACAAGTAAGAGTTGAGCATATTATGTGTTGATTATGAATCACTTGATGAAAAGGTGCTTAAACTCCCCCTTTTTATGCTTCTGAATAGAAGGGTTGAGTATTGAAATTGTAAATTATAAGTGTTTGATATAATGTAATATATTGCACAAGTGAGTTTCAATGTATTGCATGTGGTTTAAGTGGTACCAATAGCTTTTGGCCTTTAGTATATGAGTTGAACACTTAGTTTTGTAAAAAAAATTAAAAAAGTGTAATTTTTGAGAAGAGTGTCCCAAATTTTGGTTGTGTAATTATTTGATTATGAGACCAAAGCCATTAGTTAGAGTTCGAAAAAAGCTTTCCATAGATATCTAGTTTTGCATTAATTGAAAGTCATATAGAGGAATAGGGCATGTCGAAAGTTGCCTCTAGAGCTGTCATTTGTCAACAAAAAGTGCCTGTCATGATATGTGCAATGCGCTGCTGCGCATGGTGCCATGAGCCACAGTGCATGGCACAGAGGTGAACACGTCATCACGCATGTTCTATGAGCCATGATGCACATCTCAATTTTTGTAGAATCACTTTGTTTTTTTTATCCTTTAGCAAATACACTAATATTTGAATTGATCCTATGCTTTTCAATAATTGTGAACTCTAAGTGTTTGGAAATGGTTTTAGCTTTGAACACTTGAGATCCTAACTTTTTCACCTATATGTAAACTTGGTATTATATTGTTTACCATAATCTAATCTCTTTATTAATTGAGATTTGGAATTTAATCATAGATTAGGAACGAGGATATTATAATTGGGATAGGAGAAGTGGACGTGAAAGTGGAACTAATATTTTATCTATTTGGTACCATGAAACTAGGTTCTCTATAGAACCCAATTCCATAAAAAATGATGAAACTCGGTTCCTCACTCATGCCCATAGAACTAGGTTCTCTCCTCACTTCCTTCCTCATTTACCATCTTTGCCCTTTAAACTTCTTGACTCACTACAACCTAAACATGATAATGCTTGATCAGCGATAGTACCTCACAGCTACAATGATGGCCATTGATTTTTTTCAGTCAACTCATCGGATTCTTTTGCCCACCAAACGTGATTCAATTTTTTGGTTTTAATTAATGCCTACAATAAAGGCAAAAATGGCATGATTTAATTTTGGATCCAATTCCAAGCACAAATTATTCTTTGATTCAATTTCCATTTCTCAATCTAAGTTTAACAGCCTTCAAGCACGATTCAATTTTTGTTTTGTTTTCTTCTTCTTATCTGGGTTTGAGACATTGAAGGGATTCAAGTTTGCTTCTCGATTTGATTACTAGTTTAGGATTCTTGATTTTTATTTCGATTAAAACTTCTGCTTGATAGTTTCACACTTTTGACTGATACTTTTGTTTCTATTTTTGGTTCACAACTTCTACTTTCAAATTTGATTCAACTTCTACAAACAAGTTTCTAATTCTTCTTTGTTTGATTTCGTAAAGAAGGAATGATTAGCATGTGTTTTGCGAGTTTGGGACTGCTATTTCAAGTCTATTGATAGTAAAGGCTATAGATTAATTAAATGAAAAGATATGCACATCTGTAATGTTGTTAGAAGAAATTGCGTCTGCTTCATCGCAAAATTTTACAAGTCTTTGATTTTTTATTCTTTGACTTTGGTGTTTATCTTCAACTTAGATTTTTTATTCTCTATTTTTAACATTTTTTGGAAAAAAATCCTGAGATTTGGGTGGGTTTGTTGTTTGGATATTTTGAAATCTAGTGGAGTATTTACTAGTAAAGATGGACGATGAAGACAGATGATGAACATGAAGATGACTGTTATTTTTTAATTTTAGGAGTATTTTGGTCTTTTGAGAATATTACTATGTTTATTAAATATAATTCATGTTTCACTTCCATATGCATATCAAACATACTTTTATACTCTACTTTCACTTTTATTTTCACTTTTATTTCTACTTTTTGCTTCTACTAAAATCATTTCCCCATACTAGACGGGGAAATGATTGACAAATTTCCCCATTCTCTTTCATTTTCTTCTTTTCTTTTATTTAATTGATAAATTTCAGGTATTTTAAATACTAATAAAATCAAGATGGTAATTGGAAAAATCTTTTCATGCATTAACTAGGAAT